AGCTCCCAATGTGTTGTGTAGAGTGTATTTCTTGATTTTGTACATCTCAGATGTAACTTGTCTTGGGATGACCCTAAGCTCTTGCATCGAACATTCAAAAACACATTTTGAAATCTGAAGTGGTACAAGAATAATTTAAACAAACAAAAACACGTCTGTTGAGCAGTACAACACTCTGTTCAGGATACACATTGATCATGTAATTAACTACAAAATGGTAAACATTGAAAATGCTGTAGAAAAACAGTATGTATCTAGATTTGGAGTTTCGGTCTGTGTGATTGATTCAAAAAATATTACATGGTGTGAATCAAAATGTGCAGAATACTTCCATGGCTAAAACAATATCATATCACAGATTTTCACATGACAACAGATATATATATCAAGGGTAATAATTGTTGGACAATTGAGAGACTTAATCATTATAATTCCCTTTTAAGATTTCGAAGATCTTCATCACACTTGTAACATGTTTATTTGTTACTTGATTGATACTTGAACATTACCATTCACATATATAAGCCAGGCATATTTATTGGCAGGGAGTGTGTGATGGTGGGCTTTGTTCTAGATGTGCCTTATTACCTAATTCGATTAACCATCCACCCACTGTCATATATAAACAAGAAATTATTTATTTTACATAGGCTTAACATGCACAACCTTAAAGCGCGGTAGTCGTCGCGCATGTTTGACATTTGTGTTGATAAACATTGATTTTCCCACAATCCAATGCGCTCTTCAAATGGAAATCACAAGTATGAGGTTTGACCTTTGTGCGACTTGCACTGATCGCCGCCGCTGACTCCTTCGATACCTTCCAATAACATGAAAATTACTCAATTAAAGTTTGGAAACATCTAAGTTCGTACTTGTTGATCTGCGCAACAGTCAAAGTCGCCATCTTTGTTTATATGAGACCCATATATCTCGCACATGCGCAGCGTGATGACTACAGCGCCTTTAACCCTACGTAGCCCATGAGTTATATAATAACAGCTTGGCAGGATCTTATTTGTGACAAGCATTGCTAATATCACTGCTGGCATAAGAGCTCTCATACTAGATTTCACAAATGTTGCATAAATCTATTACAGGACTTAAAATATACTCCTGTGTTTATTTTGTTCAGTGTAAAATAACTACGTTTTTCACACACTAGTGTCAAGAAATAATACCCTGAATGCAATAGTCATTTCTGCTATTGAGAATATAGGTGTATATTTCGAAAAAAAGTTTCTCAGATTGTATGTTAGATATGAGAATGCAGCAATTTATATCACTAAACACATAACCTGCCCTGTAAAATATACTGTCTGTGGATGCTTCAACTCACACTTTATATCCAAACTTATTCTTTAAATGGATCATTGGGCCAGTCTCAAATTCGAGAATAATATATATATTTATACTAAGTATATATATGCAATATATATATACAAAATAAGTATATTTTACATTTCAATAATTGAATATAAAAAAAGATACTGTTTTCACTCTGATTTAATTACTTGAATGACTCTAAACACCTTTTATACAGTTAATATGTTACATGTTATTTCATGCGATTATGACTCCATATATGGCAGTTCTTCTGAATCCATCCAGTTATAAACTCGATTTGTTGGTGAACCAGTCTTTTTCAATAAATTATTAATCCGTCCATCAAATAAACCAAATAGACCTCCTGTTGTAATAAACAAATAACCCAAACTTAATATAAGAATAAAAAAAAAATTAATTGGTACTTTTGTAAGTTCTCTCAAGTGCTAGATTACACTAACAACTAAACACACTCAGAAATCTTACAAACGCATAAATATAAGACTAATTCATACCTGTATGAACAAATAAAATTCTCTTTCCTTTGAATCTTGATGGATTGTTATTTAATTCCTCCACTAATGCCTTGGTGGCTTTACCAGTATACACAGGATCAATCATTATGCCAGTAGTTGTACTTACTTTCAGGATAAATTCTATGCAATGTATAAATACAAATAAAATGCTGTAATTTAATCATTCTTCAAGTAATGAAATCTCCATATCTCCACTGATAATAACAACAACTACCTACTCTTCATAGATAACAAACAATGACAACCACCAATGAAAACAGACACCAACCAATGAATGCCAAAATGCCAGATACCAATCAATGACAACAATGATTTTTGGAAACCAATAAACTATTATTGACAAGTAAAAATAATGATATGAATGACAATAATGGCAACAAACAATTCATCCATGACAACCACTAATAATGATAACCACCAAGCCGTTATTGACTACAACCAATCAGAACAACCAACCCATCAATGACAACCAAATTCATAAATACCGGTAACAACCATAAATTCATCGATGATAATCAAATATAAAAAACAACAAGTCATTGTCAATGACACGTCCCC